AGGCGACCACCACCCATCTCGGGAATTTCAGCGTTCGGGCTGAACCCTCAGCCTGATGTTGCTTATTACCCCAGACTTTCTTTAAACGCCCCGGCATCCGAGACAAATGAAACCATCTTCTTCGGCAGTGAGGCGCGGCAGTAAGGAGCGGCAATGAGATCTTTTCGGCACCGTCGAGTGCTAGACGTGCTGTCAGGCCAGTGGTGGTCTGTCATTGCTAACTTGATCCGGCATAGAGATCGCTGGAAGAAACACACTTCTCTGCTATCCGCGTTTGGAGGTTCGACGATGCAAATGGTGCCTCTGTTCCTGGTTGGTTCGGGTGGATTTGGTATGGATGCTCAACTGAGTTTTGGCAGTGATCACGCGAACGCTCTTTGCTTGCCACTGATGTCGCTGTATTCCAAAGGCATGGCAGCTACTGGGATGGTGTTGCTGGAATTCAGGGATTTCGGGTGGAAGTTTGTCATCACGATGCTGACGACTAAAAAAAGACAACCTTTGGTGCAGCTGGTTGCAGGCATGATATCGAACTTGCCAGCTCATGATATAGATACCGAGATCATATGATGTGAGTTGCCACTGATCAGAAAAATAAAAACTTAAAAAAAACTTGCAGATCTAACAATGACGATTGACACTTGAGATATTCAATAACGATGGGTGAATTAGAAATGACGGAGGTATGCTGCAAGATGGCGAGCCAGGCACATCCGAATGGCAGGTGCCGTCTCTCTCCCGGCTGTGGAGCAAAGACCCGGGACACGCCCGAATCTCCGGTCTCCATCCGGCATGACGCCCGCCACTTCCTCCGACTTCAGAAGCATGATACATTACTAAGGCTTCATACCAAGTCAAAAGTCGATAATGAACAATGGGTAGGACATCAAACAATTTATCTTTCTCATCTCAAGGTCGGCGAGCAATGGAATACCAAGCTGGAGCCTCTTGAAACTCTCTTCATTGCCAAAACTCGGGAGTCGTACAGAATTGATTCTGTTCGCAGGAATTGCGCTTACGGCTTGAGTGGCATCCAGACACGGCAAGAATAAGAGGACTGCAAGGTCGAATCATTCACAACTTTGTTGCGATTCACCGATACTGTGTCAAGATTTGGAGGTTGAAGCTACAGTCAGTGACTCTGGCCTAATTGTCGGCCATTTTCGTTTGTTTGCATCTTTTCCTAGAGTCAAAACAGCGTGAAGGGGCTCTTGTCTCTTTTATAAGCCCAACAAGCTTTTCTCATTCTTTTCTTTTATGATTCTACCTGCTTCCTATCAGATAGCACATAGAACCCGAATGCCTTTACTTGCCCATGCTATACTGGTATATTGAGCTGAACTTTGAGAGTCGAGATGCTAGACAGATGTGACCTACTTCCAGACCCGTAATCGCACGTATGCATGGTGGAACTGGACCCTACGGGCCTACATGCTCTTCACGGTATTCCCCATCAACCAAAGCAGCAAGTCTTACATTCCAATCGAAGCTTCGCGGGTCACTCACTCAGACCTCGATCATTTGATCCCGCGGCAATATGCGTACAAATTACCGAGAGGCCACCCAAAGCTCCAAGTTCGCGGCCGAACCAATTTCGTAGGCGGCTCATGTGTTCTCTCCCGCAATGCCGGCGACGCCGGCACCTCCTTAAGCGAGGCAGGACAGGCTGGGGACGGTGAGCAGGTGACTGAGCTCGAGACCCAGGCCTGGCCATTGCCGAGAGCTTGGGCCCGGCGAGGAAAGCTACGTCACCGCCGAACCACCTATCGCCGATGCTGTCTGCTATTGTCCATCGTCCAAGGTAACCAGAGAGTTACATTGAGTTCCCCAGTTAGAATACTGTGGGCAACGGGGACAACCCACATCAATTCCAATCACGAGATTCCAGATTAGAGCAGTAAAGTGCTCGTCGAACAACGCTTTCAGTTTCCCCCCTCGTGAGAAAGTCGCAGCTCCCAGCCAGCATTGCCGAAGCCATCACCTTGGAGCGAAATGCACCTCGGCACCTGACGCGGACAAGCTCTAATGCGCGGTGCCAGCTGCCAGCGCCCAGGCCGCCGATCCTTGGTGCCCTCGTGACGGTCAACGCCAGGCAGGCAGTCAAAGACAAGGGGCAGGGGAGATGGGACAGAGTGCCAAAGGCATGGCTTCAGAAGTTCAGTCCGGGGGGAGAGGGAGGGGGTGAGAAGCGAGTAGCCGCGGAACCTTCAACCCTGAAGTGAGCCACGCGACATGTGCGCATCAGGCCTTTGACAATCCTGCTAAACGTTGATCCGTTGTGAGAGTGTTCGCAGCTAGGTTACACCGTTACAGGCTTATCCGTACTCCCTACAGCATGTCTTCCAACCGTGCCAGAGCGTGCTTTCGGGGCATCGATAGGGTGACATTCCTGACGAACATCTCACGCCACAAAACAGCAGGCCATTTGCCAATGCTGCGTCGCGCTCGTCGATGAAGCAGAGTCTAAGAGATCGCTATTTCTCGCTAGATAGTTCATCAGAGTCTCTCAATGTCACTTCGCGATCGCAGTCGGCTCCGCGCCGTGTCTTACTATCCCCCAAGCGCTGCTCCCCCCGACCGATAGCAATATCCGACATTGAAAGATATGAAACCTCCCCTCTTTCCATCCCATGTTGGTCATCTAGGGGCGGCCAGCCTCGCCAGACAGAGTTTACAGGCTTCGTCACTTGACCGGTTCCCTTTCGCCGAAAACGACCTTTGGCCCGTCCAGTCTTGTCCCTCTCCGCGGGGAAGAGCAGATGAGCCGAGGACGGTGTGTCTGGGGGGAGGGAAGATGGGGGAAGACAAAGAGAGGCAACACGCTGCTACGCTGCTCCAGGCTTCAGGCTTCAGGCTTCAGGCGTCAGTCTATGCCCGGCCGGCTGGGGCAGGTCGATGCGGCGCTCGACCACAGAAGAAAACGGCGCCCTAGGGTATGGACGGATGGAATCATGGATGGCAGCGACGTCTGGTGTGCTGAACGCCTGAGTAGGAGAGAGTGGCGTGGGCGCAGCATCAACGCTTTGATGGACGCGGAACCCTTCTCTGTCAAAGCAGAACGTCGCTGGGCCTCCGGATGACAATTCGAACTGGTGTGTGTCTGCCCTTCAACCACATAGTCCTCTTTACAAGAGTCATAGGGGTGTATTCCAGGCGTCCAGCACTGCACCGTCGCCACGTCTGTTTGGTTTTCGGTCTGATCTCTGTGATCTCGGGGCCCCGGGGAACGGCGGGTCGACTTCCAGGTCCCGTCCCTTTTCACCATGTTCCGCCTATCTGTACGCATTGTGACCTTGCGGTTGGATGTACCACTTCGTCGCTTGACCCTTATTTTCTATTTCTTATTTTCCTTCAATTATTTGTCTTCGTCCGTTTCCATGTTGCCCTCCGTTATCTTGGCATCGCTATCGGCAACGTCATTTTGCAAAGTTGTGGTTTCCGTTCGTTCACCTACCAGAATCCCGGTAGTTCGGTCCACAACCTCAAGTGCGCCGCATGGTAACACAACAGCGTGTTCTCCATACGCGCATTCTTGTTGGTGGAATCCCCATCTGCTGCAGAAACCCCAGATGTCTTGCTTGTCATCATATCGCAACTTCAAATTCCCGATGCCATCAGTGACTCCTAATTCAGTTGTGGGAAACTGAGCGACAAGCCAAAACCGATGACGGACGCAGGAGCTACGAGTCAAGAGACGGTCCCTCTCACGGACGTGCGAGCAAACGGAAATCCAAATAATAAAAATAATCAAGTAAAATAAAATAAAATACGTGGAGGTAATACTCCAAAATTCAAAAATATTCCAACAGCGGCTTCCAGAACACCGCGCACGTCCTCTCTCATTTCAACAAGGGGTTGGCCTGTCACAGAAACCTCTTGCCATTACCCCCAGAGAGAGCCAATCTCCCTGCCACGTTTTTTTATTTTCTCCCCTTTTGAACGCCCTCTCAACTCAAGCGGAGAATCTCCGCGGTAAAGAGAGAGACCAGAGACAAGGCCGAACCCCCCCCTCCTTGTTTGACGGCCCCAGCATCGTGGTAGCGACTACCCGGGTACGGAACCGCGTCCCGGAGCCAGGCTCATCCCAGTTCTTCATTGCGAGCCAGCTCCATGACTCGCAGATTGCCGGTCGTTGAGGACTTGCACTTTGAGAGCCCCCCTTGTGAACCAGTGAATGACGGAATTTTGATCTCCCATTGGGGAAGTCAGTACCGGCCGGCCCTTCTTTTGTAACCTCTATTGAACTACATGTACGTAAACGTATCGTCTTTGTAGGTTGCAAATGCTGCTTTTGGTGGTTGCGCTCAGATTGGAAAAGTCATAGTACACGATACAAGGCTACAGTCTATCATTCAGCCGGTAGTTTGGAGCGACCCCGGAAGGATCAACTAATCTGCCTCCATCCATTGCCACAGGATGACAGGCCCCCTAAAGGTGAGGCGATTCAGATAGTAGCCTCGCCGTGGCTTTAGAGTATCCGTAGAGGAGGTCTGGAAGGCGTATCAATGGAACGTGCACCGACGACGCACTGATTTCTCAAGATATGAACATGACTCTCTCCCCTCCAGGCTCTTCGCGTCTTACACTCAAAGAAACTTCGGGGGCCAGAAGACTTGCGCGGCCCGCTGTGGTCGCCCAGGGAAGGGGGTGCCAGATTTTGGGACGATCGGAGGGGCCTTTATGGAGTCTGGAGACGGGGGGCTTGGGCTCTTTCTTTCAAACCGTGGCTATTGCGTAAGGCCTCACCGAGATTCGAGACATGGGGGCCTATTTCATTTTTTTTTTCTCACTGTGATGTTCACGATGTTTTCGATTCGATGAACGGTGGGGGGAAGCTCGCAGAGTTTTTGGTTCACGTACAAATTTTAATAGTGGAGTTTTTGGAGTTGGATGACAGGTCGAAATAGCACGAACATGTCGGATCCGTACCTTGCATGGAAACTACGGCGTTACGACGGCAAAATTAGGCACCTTCCGAGACCTCCGTACGTCGCGTGGGTTCATGTTCCTTTCGGAGCCTCTCCGATGCGGACGGGGGGTTCGACTGACCATACGCGGCTCTCGAATTTGTCACCAATAACAGCAGCACCACTGTTGAAAGAGGAAAACTCTTCGAGTCGGGCGGCTGCCGCTTCCCGTTTGGAATGTGTAGCGCGAAGTGCAGACAGCTGAGTCTGCTTTCGGGATTCGGGAGTAGCATCGAGACTACATCATCAAGTTCACGCCACTCTCATGTACGTACACATGGCCACCAAGACCGCGCTGCCTACCTTGGGTATCCTACGGCTCTTAGCAGCCTTGCCTGACCCTACAGGTCGGAGAAAGGGTCGGTAGCACTGCGGCTCCTTTGCGGGCTGGAAAAAGGGCACATGGCACGACTTGTCCGGGCCTATGGTTCACTCCAATCCTAGTGCATTTACGACTGCAATATGGGGATGCGCTTGGGGTTGACCGTCCCGGTCACGAGGTCATAAGGTGTGGAGGAGGTGAAGAACGAATTCGGCCGATTTCACAGCGAGAAAGGGGATCAGTCTGGACTTTAGAGACGAGTATTGTCGGGCAGTCCTTGTTTGACTGACTCCTTCCCTCCCAAGAAACTGGGATTGTTGTTATCGAGCCCGAGTTGAAGACAGGGGGGGTGCTGTTCATCAGGCGTCGAAAATGGTAGGGGGAGAGGGGTGCGCCGTTATTCTTTGCGGAGAGAGAAGGGTGATAACGGTTTTGGGTTCTTGAAGTGGCACACTTGTCAGCCTCAAAAATAAATACAATGTATGAATAATTCGTAAAAAGCAGCCACATGATATGGCTGCAACCCCAGGACCGGCAGGCAATTGTGATCCTTGAATACTTTGCCAAACTTTGGCCAAGCTTGGCCCCCCCTCTTCCCCGTATCCGTTGCTGCGGTAGAAGCGAGCTGTCATGCTCATCTTCAGCGGCTCTTGCAAGCCTTTTGTGGGGTAACTTTGCCAGAAGGTATCGGGCCATAGCCGACATCCTGAGGGAATTCGTTGGGTCATTTACGGCGTCGCTTGATACCTTTTCAGGCTGAAGGAAGACTGCCGGCTCTTTGGATGCTTTCCCGGGATGAGAGCGTAGAGTTGACTAGTGCAAGTTGGCCCTTCAAAGAGCCTTGCAACCTACCTAGTCAACATCATCTGGTCGACGGACGCAATGGCAGCAGTGGGAAGAGCACACCACACGCAGGTAGATTGGAAAGCAGAGCCTCAGCCACCACTAATCATCACGTTTGAAAATCATGCAAGACCTTAAAGAGGGAAGCTGGAGCCACCGGTCCAGACCCCGGGGCCCTCGCCGCATGAAGCACCTCCTCCTCGTCGAACGCGTACCTGCATGCGCATGACGAAAGTCGCGCGATACAAAAGGGTGGAGGGCGGATATGGAGGAGGGGGGGTGCTCTGCAGTGGAGTCATGTTTTCCGTCGTCCCAAGTTGAGAGCATCACAGGATATACGTAAGACCCGGGGAAATACGGGTTGCTGAGAGCGCATAGAGTTGGAGGGGATCCGGCGAGTCACCTGCAACTTACTTCTAATCCCAAGTTATTCCAACCGAGAGTTCGTCGGTGTATGGCTCGTAGAAATCTCGCATTAATAGATTCGGATGAGAGGCCCGGCTGGGAGGAGGGTGGAAATCGTGATCTGAAGGAAGATTCAGAGATGGAGGAGGGATGTTGAGCGAGGTTCTGGGGACCCCATGACAGAAGCTCTGTATTCGGGACGGACTTGACCTTATTTTGGCTCTTTGGCTCTCATACGGACACGTCTTTTTCATATTATAGAGGTTGCAGAGGACCCTGCGGGCTTAGGTTGCTGATTCATTGCACAGGAAGCTTGGGGCAACTTCACATGCCGAAGATCAACAACTTCCTGCTGCTTTCCCTACTGCAGAACTTGCGACGTTGATTGTTTGTTTGAGGAGTCGGGAAAGGTATTTCACATGCAATCCCTTGACACGTACAAGTCAACTCGATGACGGCATTATTGGGCGGTCACAAACTTGGGATATTGACGAAGTGGGATTTAGCCAATCGACTCATGATATCGATTGCCGCAAGAAGACTCAAGCGGCGAGCAGCAGGTCTGGGATCTGTATGCCTCATATCACGACATGGTCGGCTTGAGTCGCGCATACGAAGGGCATGTGTTCCTGAGCCTCTAAATTAACTTGGCGAATCTGGGGTATGGGGGGGAAAGGCCTGGGGCAAACAGCCAAGCGCACCAGGACGGATTCGTAGCTTACGGTTACACAAGCACGGCAATGACTTATTGATACCATACGATACAGCTAAGAGCAGGTCAGACAAGCTAACGGTAGGTAGTGAAAAGTCAAACTATTCAAATTTGAGACGGACCTCAGAGTCATTGAAATCCTTCACCATTGCCGCCAACGAGAAACTCAACGATGAGACCGTTGAAGGGTTCGCCAGATCAACAAGACACATGGTCACATCTAGGTGACAACCAAAAATCCGGGGAGACATTGCCGGTCAGCGCGACTGAGCCGCACGGCATGGCGGCCAGATCGTCCGCCGTCCGCGCCGTCCAACCAAGGCACATACTCGCGAAGTCCTAGATTGACAAGTTCGCGCCCTCCCGGGGGAGAGGCAAGGACTTGTAGGGTGGGTTCTCGGAGAGGCTGCCGACGCAAGCCGGAGCGCGAATCAATCTTACACGCGCCGGAACCCCGGGGCAGCTACCCCGAGGACCTGGTGATGCGCCGGAAGAACGTCAGAGCGTCAGACCGGTGCTGATTTCTTCCCTTTGCCCAAATGAAGTAGAAGACTGTCTCGCGTGGCTTGTAAAGTATGTGGTGACGATATTGTATCTCATTCGCTATTAGGCGTTCGCGCTATTGTAGCTCCTGTGACCGGTGCCATTTCGACACTAGGGGAAGAACTTCCCGGTGGTAAGGCGGACTAGTCGTGCAATCTAGGCCCGAGGCCAAATCTTTGCGTTCGTCTTTGATCTTCATCGCATGGTGCTAAAGAGTCCCTGCTAATGTGAGTCGAGTTTGAGTACGTGATGAGAACTGCTAACTAGGAAAACATGGGAAAGGTTCCCCGGGGAGCTGTGTTGGGGCTAAGAGGCGAGCTATCAGATCTCTATTTCCCTCGCGGGCGAGCTTCCGGGCGCTGAAAGTCAAAATGCGAACCCACGAACTAGAACGGCTCACTAAGGATGCTGATGATGAACGTTGGAGCCCCGTTGCTTCAGGAAGAGACATGCCACACAAAGGGGACGTTTTCAGGCCTAATCCGGTCTGTAATGTTAAGTCAACCGCGAAGATCACATTGAGGTTTGTTGACCGAAATGGAGTCTTTCGTTATATCCGCCCCTTGCTCACCGGTGAGCGGTCTACTGTAGTGTCATCACATGTTTGCCAAAAAGCTGCTTGCGTCTTGCCAAAGTTCCAAAGCCTCCGGCCCTGTCCCTTTCCATCCACAGGACTTCCCCGCAGATTCTCACATCCAGCCGAGCCTTTCACGTCGCGCCAGTTCTCTCTCTCTCCCTACCGAACTTGCATGGCGCGTCCTCCCAAGTTTGCCTCCCTAGTCTGTTCCTACAAGGGGCGCAAGGGGTCATCATAGGGGGGCCGGGGACATTGCAGAAGGATTCAGGGTATCACATCTGATCTGATCTTTTTCTCTTGCCCCCCCCCCCCCTTTCCCCGGGGCCGGTCTCGTGCGAGAAAAGGATGCAGATGAGCAGAGGAAGATATGCCCAAACAGAGAAGCACGGACCCGGACTCCGGAAGCGGTGTTAGCGCGAGCTGTAGTCTGTAGATCCAGCGGGTTGGGTTCTCCGGGGAACGTCCTCCCGGTGGCCCCCGACGAGCCGGTGAACCTTACCCCGGGAGAAATACGCGATTCTGATTTGTGGGCTTTCTTCAACACCATGAATGGAGGGGAAGGGGAAATGTGCTTTTCGGCTTCTCTTTTCGCAAAGCGACTTTTGGAACGTGGCTTTTTCTCCTCTCCTCTAAAGATGTCTCTTTGCGTTTTGTTCTCGGCGTGAGACATGGGGGTTTTCCAACAAGATGGGGTTTTGATGCAAGGCAAGGGGTAGAAAAGAACTAATTTGGCTGGTGTGGTTGGGAGGGCGCGGAGACGATGGTGGCGTTGGATGTTCTTCATGAGGGTGTACAGAATCGGGAAGATACCTGGCGTGCCTGGGTGACCTGGGGTACATACAGCCTTCAGAATATTACAATATTTTTATTGCAACATTTTTAAATTTTCGACAACTCTTATTTTGTTTTCTAAATTTTTATTATTATTCCACCCTGGACATACTTTTCAATAAACAGTGATGTTCCATTTCCAATAGTAGATCCGTCACAAGTCATACCTCAGCCCCCCTAAAACAAAGATGTGATGGTGGTAAGAAGCGCTTACCTCTCAACCAACCGCGCCACCATTCATAACTCTTCAGCCCTCTCTCTCCATTCGCTGTGCCCATTTTACCCCAATCAAAACTCGCATATCAACACTCATGTGACGGATTAGGACAAGAATAACGTCCAATCGCAAGGGCGATAAATCGAGAAATGATTCCCATCACATCTTTTGCCCAGCCACACACAACTCGCACATAAGCGACCGTTATTGCACAATTGGAATTTGTGCACAGCGAATGTTATCCGCCCGTGTGCCGCCCGAGGGTCGTCGGATCGGCGCTTGCGTGGGATTTCCGGAGGGAGGGGCCGGCAGGCGGCAGTTGAGATGTTCATCACCGTTGCGGTTTTGGTGGTCATGAGGGTGTGCGGGAACCGCTTTTGATGTTTGATGGGGGTTGCTATTGGCAGTTGAGGATTTGGTGTTTCTTGGTTTGATTCTTTTTCGTATTGGCGAGGCGAGTTTATGGTCAATATGGGGGAAAGTATCTAGACATCTCAAACATGGAAGGGCGGTTCCAAGTGTTAGTAGGGAGGTGAATTGAGACCCTGCCTGTATATACCTGCTCTTTTGAAAGACAAAAGAAGTACATTTGAAAAGTTGTGATTTGGACAAGAGGCCGATGAATAGTACGATATTGATATCTGGGGGTGGAAAAGGCAAGAAACCAACAGGAGCCGACCGAGGTTCGAAAGCAGGAGTCCCGAAGAGTACGGAGCATCACGTACTAGTCAGCACTTCACGGCTTTCACCCCTCGGTCACCAGGCCCCATGCTTGTTGTTAGGGAAAGAGGGCACCGAACATCTCATAAGGCCTGCGTGTTCTGGTACCACGATGTTTATTCAGTGATGGAAACTGCGTATTCCTATCAGGAAGCTGAATCATCCCAACACCAACACGGCCCATCGTGCATCCACCTTAGTCCTTCTTCGCAGCAGCAGCCGCACCACCACCGACTCTCTTAAACTTCCTCGGGTCTTTACGACTCATCAACTTACGGTCCCGCGTACCCTTACCGCCCTCCCAGAACCCCTTGCCCTTCCGCCCAATGACGCTCCGGCCGCAGAACCCACACGCCTCGGGCGAATACCGCTGCTCGCGACTGCACCACCCGCACACCATCCGGTTCGCCCACTCGTTGACGTGGTTCTCCGCCTCGTCGTGGCACCGATCGCACGGGTGCACTTTCGCACAGCACGAGAACCGGAACCAGCGGTAGCTCTTGCGGTAGTGCGCGCAGGCGCCGCGGTCCGGGAGCGGGGTGCCCGCGTGGAGACCGAGTTTCTCGGCCTTCTTCAGGGGTCCCGTCGTCGGGGCCGCGAGCCCCCCAGCGGAGAGCGCCAAGAACTTGACGGTGGGGATCTTGAATGTGAATTTGCCGTGGCAGGCGCGGCAGACGTTCGTGACGGCGTCGCCGCGGACGGCGACGAGCCCCTGGCTTGCGGTGGAGCATTTGGCGCAGACGGGGATGAAGGTGCTGGGGAGCATGTCGGAGACGGTGCAGCCCGTGAGGTCGACGAAGCCGGCGCGGGTGGAGTTTGCGTGGACGAGCGTCTGGCGGAACTGCGCTGCTAGACCGGCGGCGCATTTGCGGCAGGTGGAGGTCTGGGGGACCTCGTGCTTGAGGCCGGTGATCTCGTTGATGGTCTTGCAGCGCGAGCATTTGACGCTCAGGTTGAGGATGGAGACCTGGAAGAGCTCGATGCTGTGGAGCTCGATGGTCGGGAAGGAGATGGATGTGCCCCTTTCCGGGGTGAGGCCGGAGGAGAGGCTGGGTGGTTCTGCGTCGAGGTCGGCGCCGCCTTCGTCCGAGTCGTCTTCTGAATCGTAGCTGTCTGACGAATCTGTGTTGTCTTCACCGGCGCCGGGACGGCTCCATTCCGGTGGACGCGGGATGACTTTGATATGGCTGCGGTCATCGTCATCCACGGCCGGTGCCTTTGCCTTGGAATCCTTTTCAGGCTCCTGGGCTGATACCGCCTGAGCAGCAGCAGCAGCAGTCTTAGGCGGCGCCGCTGCTTGCTTTGCTAAGACGTGCATGTTTTGAGCCAAGTAGTTCAGGTGGCTCGTGAGAGTCATCTGCTTCTGCTCCGCTGCTTTATGTACGTAGAGCTCCTCCAAGGGCTCGGCATCTTGCGAGTCACACTCGTTGAGCTGGATACGCAGCGGTTGCAGCGGGTATAGCAGCGGCACAATAAGATGGACCGTCTTGACGCCTTGCAACCCAGGAGATAGCTCGGCACGGCGACGAGGCTCCAAAGGGAGCGTGTAGACGATGCCGTCCGGCGATCGGCGGTATAGAGACAGCCGTCCCATGCGTGTCTCCAACTGCCGCGTCTCCTGCGCGCGCCGGGCTTTGGCAGCCGCCATCTCCTCCTTGGTGAAGTACTCTTCAGGAGTGTAGTGCCTCACAGGCGGCGCCGGGGCCGGGGATGGCGTCTTTGTGATCTGGGTCGCAGGGCCCGGGATGGCCGCGATGGCGGCGGCCTCGAGGTGGCGGGTATCCTTCACGCCCTCGTCCTTGTAGGTGACCAACTTCACGGTAGCCACCTCCTGCTCGGACAGGAACTTTTCCAGGTTCTTGTCCAGGGCGTAGGTGAGGGCGAGAAGCGTAGCGCCCCGGCGTTCCTCGACGAGCCTCTCCCACCCGCGCTCAATGTTGATGCAGAAGCCGCGCGGGATATCGCTATTCCGCACGTGCAGGACGGGGACAGCATCGGGGTAGTCCTCCGGCACGCGGAGGTCGCACTGCAAGTGCTCCAGCTCAAAGGGAAAATCCGGATCCGAGGGCTTGATGCGGAAGACCAGGGATGTGGTGGTGCCGTCCGCGGCGGTGGATTCGCGGGGCGAGTAGCGCTTGCGCAGCTGCTCGAGCTGGTAGCCGCGGGGATCCTTGGACTGAGCCTCCGGGACGGGTTTGGGGACCACGCGGTCGGTGCGAGGCCTGGGAACGGCCTGCTGGTGCGTATTGCCGCCCTGTTTTGTGAGGGAAATCATGTTCGCGCGTGGTGAACGGAATTGGAAATGCTCAACGTTGGAAATTGTGGATGAGCTGAACGGGATGAAATGCAAAAAGAACAGGGAGAAATGGGTGGACTGCGGGTGGAGCAGTGCTTGTCCGTCTCTTGATGAGCTACCTCAGCTGGCAAAGGCGAGTATTGAAGGTTTGCTGCCGAAGAGAGGTCGTTCGGGATGATGTCGAGGCGAAGAGGCTGTATTTGACAAATCCGCGTGTTGTCAGTCAGGTGGCGATGATTGACGATGACCCCAGGTGGGTTTGGCCCCGGACCGGATGTAGTGGAATCTCCGAGTCGCTTCCCAATCTGCAACCGCGACACTGACAGGGTGCCGAGACTTTCAGCGGCGTTGCGTTACGCTGCGATTAGTCGAGGTGACTCATAATGGGGCACCAACTTGTCAACGCTAACAGATTTCGGCCGGAGGAGCCGGCAAACGTGTTAGTGCACGGTCTTGTTTCTGCTGACAGTCACCAATCACCTGCAGACGAGATGCATCGACGCCGGTCGACTCATCTTCGATAGTGGAAAACAAGACGTGAATAAATATGTACGATTCAGATTAAAGCTTCAGGGACGCTAGAGAAGTTTGCCTTGCCGCAGATAATGAGTGGTTTGCACCTTGTCTGTCAAGGGGCTCTGACTACCTTCAATATCCGGCAATGCGGATGCCTCAAGTCACGTATAGGCTCGTACCTTATTTAATGCTAAATACCCTGATTGATGAGCCGGACTGCAGAGAGTTTTGGAATACAAGCGAGGCAAGAAATGTTCATGATAATTTCCCAGCGATACATCTGTAGGAAATGTCGCGCCCGCTAAGAGACATCCTCGCCTGGGTATCTCCTTGATTGGTCATCTTTTACCTTTAATTGTATTCTTCTGATAGAAGGACAATCTCGTCCCACTAAACATATAAAGCCTAGCTAGAATGATTCAGGAGTCATTCTTTCTTGAGCGTGGGCAGATTTCGGGTTGACCGAAAACAGGTACTTTGACATCCGAACCTACCGCCGACCGGAGCTGAAGTGGACCCATTCGGCCCCGGGTGTCCATAAAAGGCCCGGAGAGGTGGATCGGGACACTTACACGGCTTAGGTATGACCCGCAAAGAAAGAGAAGCAAAAACACTGCAGAAATTTTACCCGAATAACTCTATGAAAGCATGAAATAGCATTTTCGTAGCCACTTATTCGCAACAATGTAGATTACTTGGTACCTTGCCCCCCTGCAGATTACCGCGTGTTGCCAATACTTAGAAACGAAGCAGGCCAGCGAGGCGCTGACGGTCTCATTACGACTGGATCCCTGTGAATGGCGTTGAAAACGGTGGGAATAAACGAGCTGACCATTCAAATCCCATCGATATATCAACACCATTACCTTCTCGACAGCATTCTTTCAATAAGGTAGAAAATATTGAATACTAAAAAGGAGAGACCTCTGAAGGAGACAAACGGAAAGTCTGGCATCCACTTTACGTACCGCCGTGTAACAGCCCTACTGTCCGCGCCTCAAAATGGGAAATTCAGGTTCACTTGCGCAAACTCAGGTGTCAATTTTGGCAATTCTGGGCATCATCGCCAGGATTCGTGATCAAAATGATCAAAGTATTAGTGATAAAGCTTACCCCCGAGGTAAAGCTTGCTGGCAGGAAAAGTGACAGCTGCACAGGAAGGATGACACCCTGCATGACAATCGGATATGCGTGAGCTGGCGTGTCTCAACAACGTGATGCCCAGCACAAACACACCTGCTGGTCGAAAGAATGGAGGGGGCGGTAAAGAGAATAATGTCACCGAAGACAGCCCCCGCCGCGGGGAAACCAACGAAAGTGGTGCTCAATCGCTGCCCAACAAGACGCAGGAACATCGAGTCCTGGTTCCTGGTATGCCACAAGAGGAAGAAACTTCGAGGTTCGAGGTAGTTGGGGGGCATTTTGTAACGGTGACAATGGCCCTTCATTCGAACGTGACAAGCTGTGGCCGCCTCCAAGCCACACCGACAATCCGGCAGCGGGCGCGGCGATTTGCCGCCTCACCTGGCCTCGCATCTTGTCCGCATATGCGGGCACCAAATGACCCCTCGGTATGGGAGTGCCGCTGCTGCTGTCCGTAACCAGGAAACGTGGAGGGTTCAAGGCATGAGGGGCTATCAGCAGCCTTCCGTATCACTGCTGCCCTTGGGCGGCAAAACGACGCATCTAGAATTGAGACGATCGCGGGTACTGCATTCAAGGAGGGGAGGGAAGAGGGGGATTAGTTGCACGTTTGGCCGGCATTGCTGGGAGGTACGGCAGACGCCACCTTCGCGTGTAGCACAACGGTGAAGTTGATCTCGAAAACTTGGGAGGTGTATGTCGTACCGTAGATAGACGTCCCAAGAACGGTAGGCTTTCGGTCCAGCCGGGGCGAAAGAGAAACCGGTCGCAAAGATGCCATCAGCCTACCAGCAATTGTGGTGTGAAACACTGCGGTTTGGGCGGGCGTGCATTTCGTATCGAGAACGATAAAGATCGAATGCCAGTTGGCCCGGGGAACTGCGACGGATGCAGCAATGCGGCGGTTGCATGCAAGGCGCAGAAGCTTGGTGAGCTTCAAAGGGACATGAAATCAGAGTAGCGAAACGTTAAAGGTCGGAGACGGGCGAGTGGAGGAGACGCGACCGCTCTCCAAACGGGGGCACCCGTGATAATGGGACGGACAGCGGTTGACAGGCTGTCAACGGCGATTTGCGATATTTGGCAACTCGGTCAAGGGAGAATCTGGTCCTCTGCATCTTGTGTTTGTCAACCCCCGTGCTCAGTGCTCACCTTGTCCTGGCAGCAGACCGGCGCGGCGGGAAGGCATGGGAGAGGATTCGCCGGGAGATGCAGCGGGTGGTGGTGTAGTGCCCGACCGGAAATGCAGCCCGGCCGCCACCATCATCAATCGTGTTGAGGATGTTTGGTACCAAACGGCAAGGTATTCAATTAGATGCGGTACGGTACGTACGGGGGCGCCTCGGGAAGGCTGCGTGCGTGGGATGTGACAGCTGTTCCCTCATCTCGATGTCGATGAGATACGACCAGGACGTCTTTGAACGCTTGGGAGGCCAATTTGGTGGTAGCAGAGTCCGGAGGCAGCACGGCCTGCCTCATCAGCCGATTCATCGACAAGATGTCGAGGCTTGTTTTCCGTCGGATGGTGGTGGTGAGTTTATCTCTAGGGTCCTTTTGGATGACGATTCCTTGAGGTTGCTGCTGGTAAACATGGTAAACAGAGCCCTGGCGACTGCGACTGCAACGCTGAGAAGTAAGGGAGAGATGCCAGCGCATCAGGAAGAGGGCCTGGTGACCATGGTGTATATGCAAGTCCAAGTCAGCCTCCCGAGCGGTGAGGGGACGGGAGTTGGGAGCCCAGACCTGGGATGCGTCTGGGGGTGTGAAGGAAACAAAGGTGAAAGGTGAAGAAGGGAAAGGGTGGGATGGAAGAAAGACGGACGCGCTGGCGGATTAGCACTCCTTTTGGGTGAGGCTACGGTGGCGGACCGTCGGCGCTACCATTTTAGCAGCTGTGTCTGTAGTTGGTCCCGTTGCTGTCATCTGGGGGGAAACGGTGGGGCTCAGTTCAAGATGGTGGTGTGTTTGTCCGTATGTGTGTGGGTGTATGAGTTGGTGATATGCCAGAAATTGAGCTGAAGATAATCAATATCTTTGTTCAACTTTTTATTCTCTGTTTATCTTTATTTCATTATTTTAATGATTTTCTTACTTTCTTTTATTTTTCATTTTAGTAGCCCCCGGTCATATGTCTCTGCTTGCATCAACCAGATCTGATGCGTCCATATCTGATCCCAAGAAGTTGGGTAAATGTACGATGCGCCTGTTTTGCAGCCCCTACTGCCACACTCCCTTTCATGTTATGTCTTCCGTGCCCATGATTGCGCTCACAATCTCCAAAGAGGTATCTTCAATACTTCTCATAAACGGCGATAGCACTTTCAGTTTTTGGATTGTGCCGGCGATGACGGGCTCAAGGTAGTAGTTAAGGCCCCGTCAATGGCAATCTCACTTGTAGTTTGTCTTTCCACAAGTATCCAGGGTCTGGTTCGCAAGCGAGACGGTCTCTCCATCGCAGCGCTAAATTTCCCATAAGTTCCGAGAAAAACAAAATAATAAAAAGGAGAATAAACAGAAAGCAACCGGGTTTCTGCCCTGTCTCTCCAGGCTCATCGCTACCAGGATGACGGATTGACACTTGTTGATGGCACCTCATGCAAGACAGTCCATGTGTTCATCAAGGCCTTGATTGACTGGTTGAAATCCGTATCTAAGGTCACCCCCGAGAATTCCCAAAAAGAGCCTTTGTTGAACGTATACTCGCAGGACGTGACTCAACATCAGAAAGGTCCCCAAAGGCAAAAGATTCAAAAGTCAAAATACGGCAAGTAGAGTCGGGTGTCTGATTCCAAAGGTAGCTGCTTTGCCCTCCCAACGAGTACCTTGACCCCCAAATACAATCCTCGGCATCTCCAATCGATGACTGCAGCTGATTTCTGCCTGGGCTCACGACGAGGGATGGTTCCATTGCATATCTCGTAACCTCGATTTTGGGACCTTGGAGGATGCACCGCCTCGAGTCGCACTGCACCAGCCCCCCCATGCGAAGTAACGGGGGAGTGGCTGATCCCCCGCTCCGTCAGATCCGGGAGGCATTGAGAGTCTGCCAGTGGTCAAAAATACGGGTTGGGCGTGCAATGAGAAGCCCCGGACGTTGCGGTATCGCATCGTTTGGATATTCAGTGAGCGCCTCACTCACATGGCAAGCCATAGATGAAGGAGCGCCAGCATGTGTCATCTCATCCCGTGCCTGAGGTGACTAATAAGCCGGCAGACATGTGCGGCGTTGAACCTTGGGGAGCAGACGTAGCTTTGCCATGTCTCTCGCCAGATCTTGGCTTTCGACAATACTATCTAATTGTTGTTTTTAATTGTTATCTTAATTATTATTTTAATGATATTATTTGAAAACATCGGATGATAGTCAATTGTTATTTTCAGCAATGGCTAATCGATCCTCTACCCGTGCGGCCTTCGGTTTCTACACTTTGAATCCTCCTACACGGGCATCCTTCAACACCACCCACCCACACACCCCTCCGCTTGTACGCTTGCTAGCACTGATTAGCCCTTGACACCTTGGACGCCAGCGCAGCGCTTCCCGGAACCACATGGCCCAACTTCCGCGGGAGCTAACTTTCAAACGCGCCAACCACACAGAACCCTTCGCTCCTTTGCGCTCTCACCTGACTGAAGGACTGACATCACCGCCGACGGTCTACCCGCCATCCGCTAAACGTTCTCCCATTGCTTGCAAATGTCCGAGCCGCCGAGGCATCTTTCTACCCCCTTTTCCACTGTTGTTTATCCCCCAGCGCCGTGGCTGCTTGGTCTCAGTCTTGATCAGAGAGACAGGTTCGTGGCGCTGAGACAGGCCGCCAACCCGATAGCGCGCGAGACCCATGCGGCTTTCATGAGGGTTCGCTTTCCAAATGGGGCACATGCTCGTTCTGACGTAGTCTGTTTGGGACCCTTTGGGAGCACTCTCATCGAAACCGAGGCGGCGGCATCGTACCTGATTGACAAAATCGAGATAATCGACCTCATGGCAGCGACGATCTCTGTCTCGTTGCTCTTGAACGGCTAGAGCTCCTGACTTGCTCGGGAATGCGGGTTGATGTCACTTCCGACCCGTGCCTCCGCTGCGCGGACCGAGCCACGGGTTGCGAATAGCTTCGTGACTCGCCTCGGCGCGCGCTCTCCTCTCAGTGAGGGGCCACAGTCTATCCTCGGTAGGATATCTTGTGATGTATACGTGATATGGTAGTCCATATCGTACTATTGCCAGTCTTCATTAAAAAGAGGGTTTTCGGGGTGTGTCGTTAGCCCCGTGGAGGAGGAGACCCTTCAACGTCGTTGTCTTGTCCGTGTCTCAGTGTTGCCGTGCCAGCGGCGGCATCGACATCAGTGGCTGTAGCTGCACATGTCGAAAACTCACCAGATAATTTGGACCAGCTGCACATGTTCAAGTGAACAACGGTTTGTGTTCCTGAGTTGGCAAAGAACAATTGAGTAGACTGTTAGGGGTAAAGCAGGTGTCAGCGGTTCAGTTCAATAGGCATCGGCCAACATACAACTTATGGTAGTTGGATCTGGTTCCTATTGCATTCATCGGCCATCGGGAATCATCTGCCAAGCGAGAGCTGTTCGGCAGATGAGCAAGATGCTCGTCATTGTGGAAGGACGAGACTACCGGTCTTCTGTGGCTGTTGATGACAACGACAAGGGCGGCGAGGCTAATGATTGAGAGTCGGTGCATATGGTGACGGCTTTTCAGAAGATTGGTGTCTTCGTATAGGCGAGTCCAAGACGCGATCAAATGAATCCCTCATCTGATCAGGTAGCACAGTGAAGGCATCGTGAAGTGACAAGGAGCACTGCCTGGCTATGTATGGTGGTGTTTTCAGTTGCAAATGCCATGGTTCTGGATTATTCCCGGAAGGACACATTGCCCCAGGAACTGCACGCAGATTTGACCACGACTCAGTTCTTTCCTCTTGCTACCTTCCATTAGTTTCGAGGAAAGAAGAAAAGATAACAAAAGGGAGGCGCAGATGGTCTTGCTCCTTCCTGTCACCAACTCCTTCACCTGGTCAACGGCACTCGCTCCTGCCCTGCATCGCAGCCACTGCCTGAACTCAATGCCTTAGGTACCTCTCGGAAAGGAAGGAACCCGCCTTCCGTCCAAGAAGCAATACACATTTGCATGAACTTCCATTGCCTACTTGAAACCTTCCCCTCTGCCCGTTCATCGTGCTCTTCTCCCTCATAGCACTGTCACTTACTATCGAGCCGCCAGAACGTCGACTGTCTAGACTTCCGCTCTCTGTATGTCATCGTAGCTCAAGGCTGAAGACGTTTGTAAATCACGGAAGAAGTAGTTTGGTAGCATTTCCTCATGTCTTCTTACCTAGCAAAGACTGACACCTTCGAAGTACCACATACCGCAGACTCGACGTCCACGATGCAAAATGTCGCCAGTGCTTTCGAGCCCACCAACGTTCCAAAACGACCTCTGACGCCGAGCTCATCTTTTGCAATTTCTTCTCCGTTGAAGCGGTTGGCTGTCGATGCCTGCGTGGGACCGAACATCTTCGATCATGAGGGCCTGCCTCAGATGTCATTCGAGCCCGGCTTTCCAGCGAATCTTGTCGCAACTTCAAGGCAGCAGTACCCTCCCGTAGACCTCCCGCAGTCTCCACAGATCCCGACAAGCCCAGATGATGACATTGTCGAGATACCCGAGACACCGCCGATCTTGTCGTTGCAAACAACCACGCATGTTTTTGTGGCAGAGCCCGATCTGTCAGATTTTTGGATGGATTATGTAGATCTGGACAGCGTTGGAGGCGAAGGTTTTGTCCCGATGGAGAAACTACCTGGTGAATACCACGATGCCGTATCTGAGACCTTGTCTAATGTAGATGAAGATTCCGGTAAGCCATTTCCTGAGCTCAACGTCGATCGCCTTGCCCAATCGTCGTCAAAGAGTGAAGAAACTGTCGAAGATGACTATGGTCTCGAAGGCTTTGACGAAGAAGAGATGATTCAGCTTCTAGAAGATACTGGGGACGAGCCTCCTGGTTTCCCTCCGCCAAGCGTCATACGGAAGATGGACTGCGATTCGAGATCAGCTTCAAGCTTCGACTCCAAATTGCAGTTCTCCGAGCCTGATATGAACACTATCGAAGCTTTAAAGACTGGTCTGACTGAACCTGATCTTCTTGATGATGATGTCGACTGGGAGCTTGTGACAAAATGCGCAGCAACTGCGGCTGGCGCTTCTCCGGATCATGAGGCTGAAATGAGCATTAGAGGCACCAAGGAATCACTGAAAGAGCATTCGAGCCCGGCACCCTTAGTCAGACCCCCTTTCCCCGACAAAATGAGAGACCGCTCCGTGGTCGTTGGACTCTCTTCGACGATCATGATGCGCACTTGTTTCAGAGTTGGAGAGCTCAATACGCAAGCTAAATGTAGCCGGGAGAAGCAGGACGTTATCTTTGAGCTTTTCGCGCGGGTCGTCTACTCCAACCGGGAGAACGTTGCCAGAGTACAACATGTGCAGCTGCGAGATCTTTTTACCGATCGGCAGCCATTTCTCAGCGGCGTATTCAGGGGCTGGAAGAGCGGTGGGCCTGTGGATGATCAGAGCAAGGTATTATTAGGGCCCGAAGGAAAGAACAAGTTGTGTCGATGTCTTTGCAAGGTATTAGAAGACAAGAAGGCTGCAATTGGTCGCTCAGCAACGCTCTTGTCGATCAGGGAGACAACTTGGGATGAGGTTCAGTGGGCTATGAGAATTGTTACAAGGGATGCAACCTCAGACGAGAACATCGATATCGAGGGAAAGAAGTCCTCTGTCATATGAACGACACAATCTGCTGATGCGGAAGATTTTCGGAGGAGATTCACGACATGTCATGAGAGCTGGCTTGATGTCGACGAAGGAACTGAGGATAATCATAGCTTTGAAAGGAAGATTCCTGAGTAAAGGCATGTAGAAGACAGAGCGCAACATTAATAGTGGAATCTCCTCGCATCAGATTGTTTGCTTGCAAGTCTTCCCGCTGAAGTCCGCTTTTTGATAGAGGTAGCTAGACTAGCTAGCTCCCGAACCACATCCCATCACCATCACCACTTGTCCCTCCCTTAAGGAACTCCATCCACGCGTCGTCGCCCATGACGACGTCAGCCGCTTCTAAGGGAGGCACATTAGGCCACATCATAGAGAGAACGCTGTTAATCTGGGTCTGAGGGCTTTCATCTATGGGCTCAGGAGCCGAAGGTTGTGCTGCATTGTCCTCATAGCTAGGAGACGTTGTGGAATCTGCCCGAGCCGTCGCGGAGGGGGCTACGGGCAGCGCAATTTCATTGCTATCCAGAAACCTGCCACAGAGGTCAATGATGACTTGGTAGCATCGAGATGAGCTGGAGTTTACGGGGGCGAGGGCGGCTATGCACCGTGTTGTGGTCGTGATTTGTTCCTGCCAGTCTCTGGCGTTGGGTGATGCTGGGTCGTTGCGGAGACAGATGCAGGGTATCAGGGCCGCTTGGAACAGGAAGTATCTAGAGGTTGGGGAGAGTGAGTAAATTGAGGAAGTCCAGAAGGAGACTGGTGCGGATGTTGGTACTTACAAGGCATACCAGGCACCGAGACGGTTGTGCTCGTTCCGTTGCCAGAACTCGCTGATGCTGGTGATGGTTGCCTTGGCCTCTGCCAGACACTTTTCGAAAGCGCGGACGTTATCTGGCGAGTCATCTGATCGTCTATCGCGGGCTTGTAGGGCCCGACGGATGACGAAGGGGCGGTACATTATGATGCGGAGGTTTCTGTACCGCCAGTTCATGACGGCGTGGGCGAGAGCGTATTTTGGCGGCACGCGGCTGGTGGAGGAGAAGTACGACGGAACGCTTGCCAGCCATGGATCAAGTAGGTCTTCGTCTAGTCGCAGCATCTCGTCTGGGGAGGGAAGGGGCTTTGAGATTACCCTTGTGTAAATTGGTGTTGTGGCGATATGGAAGCTTGCTTGGGTTCGGACGGCTGTGTAGGGGGTTATGCCGTCTGTTTCTGGGGGGTATGATTTTGAGATGGCGGTTAATGACTACGAGGGAGGTTAGTGACAGCCCATACAAATCCAAGCCAGTAGGGAAAGTGACCTTGTCGTCGACGTTCAATGGCAACGAGACCTCGACGCCTTCGTACGGCCAGACGGACGGCCTGCTGAACGTGATGGTCGCCCCGACATCGAACACACACAACGACCACCACACCCGCCGTCGAATCTCCATATTCAAAGGCGAGATATTCCACCCCTGGAATTCCTTGTGCAGACCGAGCCCCATGGCCATGCGCACGGCCAGGCCGAGGTAGTTGTACCCGGAGTTGGGCTTGTCCCGCTTCTGCTGGTAGTTGGAGATGAGGGTGAGCGCCTGGACGAGCGTCAGGTTGCCCACCTCGAGGAAGTTGAAGGACAAGATCGAGCGGGCCTGCGCAAAGAGCGAGGTGTCGAGGTTGTCGAGGTTCGCGGCCGTGGTGTAGACGCCGATGGCGGCGACGGTGTAGGCCAGGACGAGCCAGCAGTCGCCGCTGGGGCGGGGGATGACGCCGGCGTACTGCGCTCTGAAGGTGGCTTCGTGGATGATGGGGTAGCTTACGTGGTAGAGGCGGAAGTAGGCGTCTATCATTGCGTCTGTGATGTGTCTGTTGGGATCTGGCTGCTGCGCGATGAGTGGGTTTTGTAAGTGGTTGGTGATATGTTGCTGCTGCTGGGGCCCTGCGCCTATACCAGGTCTTGAGGAGGAGGATTGAGTTCTTCGTCTCGGTGTTGATGGTTCCAGGAGACGGAGAAGGGCTGCGCCGGACGCGACGCCGAGGTAGCCTGATTCCCTTTCGCTGACGGCGAGCGAGGCCATGCCGTCTGCGATGGGATCTGCGATTACTTCTCCGTTCAAGTCGGCTTCTAAGATGGCCTCGGGAGACGCCGAGTAGTTTGTTAGGGTTTCTTGCTCGTCCCATTCGAAGTCGTCCGTGGGATGAGCCTCGAGGAGGTTGAGGTCTCTGTGCGATGTGTCATTGTGAGGTTTATATTGAGCAGTTCTCGAAGCCCGTGGGGGTTCGTATCTCATGTTTGAGGTTGGTAGGACTGAGGACGGGACATGATTCTGGGGTAGTGATGATGCTTGGAATGGCTGTGACGGCTCAAGATGGACAGCTTCGCATTGCGGGAGCGCGTCGGGCCCTTGGGCCGAGGGGGCCGGGAGAGGAGCCGGAAGGGGGGCCGCCTCCAATGGCGCCGGGGTGTCAAGCTTTGAAAAGTCAAAGTCCTCTTCATCATTCCTCAGCGCCGGTGTTCCTAGGTTTCTTGGACTGGGTAGCTTAGATCCCGATCTTAGCTGGGCCGGCATCAGCGCTCTCATCTGTGTTATGATTGCCTCGGCCCGCTCCAACCTCTCTTCTACTTCCGTGAGGTGTCTGCAGAAGGGCGTTATGTCAGCGTAAGAGGCCCATTTGCGCTCGACGTTTATGCACTAGGGATAGCGAATTAGTTCTACATACTTCCTTGTCAACGGGGTGCGGGCGTGTTTCTCGTACAGGCAGTGCCGGCGGTACTTTACGCACAAGTTGCATGTCGGAATCGCCCGGTTGCACTTGGCTTTCCGCCTCCGGCACTCCTTGCATGCTTGATCAGCCGACGGGAAGGCCATGCTGAGGGGGTCAAGGTTGCTCGGCTGAGGAATTGCCGGCTCATTGTCACCCGTCGCACCTGAGGACGACATCTTCCTTTAGGTTTGAAGCTGGTCACGACTCTCTCCACGGGCTCTCTGGAGTGCTTAGTAAAGCATCAAAACCGTCTCTGCATTCAGATCGCGATTCGAGCCGGGGAGCGGTAACCGTCCTTGACAATGCAACAGGGGCCGGCTGAGAAGACTTAGGGCGAGTGTAGTCCGTATTTGAAGACGTCATGACATGACATGCAGGAACAGGCGAAGAATCAATAAAGTGTTGGTCTGGCACACATGTGGTGAGGTGAGGTTGGCCTCCAACCGCAACGAACTCAAGTGAAGCCCCGCCCTTTTTTCTCCGCACGCTTGCGCTGTGGTGATCCACAACACCATCTGATCGCGATCAGGGAGGATGCAATCCTTGCACGGCCGAGCTCCGTCCGGTGTTAGTCGGCTCTTGAGAATGGCTGAGAGAACTGTCGTTTGGACTGGTTCATGGAACGTGTGGTTTATGAGTCTCGTCTGCACTCAGTCGACACAAGGGACTAAAGTAGATCTCAATTGTGGAGGGGACCAAATCCCTCCCCGAGGCCGGAGCAAACAAGTAAAGTTGATAACAGCTCGCTGGTGTGATTGTAGTATAGTTTTGAGATCTATCTGATGGATGGTATCTCCAGTCAAATTGGCAGATGTCCCTTTGCCTTAATCCAATGAGTATCGAACTATTCACTCTTGAAATTAAATTTACCTCATAATGTTGCGGTATCTCTCGCTAGATCATTCCCTAGAGCTGTCCGCGCCCCAAAGACGCATATCCATGAAAGATGAAATTAGACTATGCCTCCTCCTTATGTACGATATCGTGAATTCCGCCTTTGGCAAGTATTTTCTCTTCCTTCGACTCTGGAGCATCCTCAAAGTTTTCCACAGCCTGGGGCCCGTCGAAAATCACCGCAATCTCTTCCAGGCTGTACCCCTTGGTCTCCGGGAACAATACCCACGTAACGACAAAGAATACTACCAAAAAGCAACAGAAGACAATGTAATAACGCCACCCAATGTTCTCTAGACCGATGGGATTTACGAATGCCGCGATGATCAGTGACCCGTAGATTGCGAATAGCTCAACCGCGATGCCTTTGGAACGCAGAGAGTAGGGAAAAATCTCGGTCGGATATCCCATTAAAAGTGGGGTGTAAGCGATGTCGTAATGGAAGTAAAAGGTGAAAAGGCAGACGACGACAACAATTCCAGCGGATTTGGACCCGGTATCTGTGTTGACAGCTGAGCAGGCTGTCCAGACAATGTAGCTCACCAGCATGCCTGCCCCTGACCAAAGGAATAGAGTTCGACGGCCAAGTCGGTCGACGAGGAAGGCAGCGCTTAAAGCGGCAGCGAAATTGAAGATCTGAAGAAGACCGTTGATCAAGGTTTGTGTAAAGGTGTCCGTGATACCGACGGTGTTGAGAACAAGTGTGAGATAGTACGAGACTACGCCAATGCCATTCCATCTGAAGAACAACACATCAGCAAATTACTCAGTCTTCCAAAGAACCCACAGGAAAGCACTTACTGGGCAAACGCTCCCACACAAACTGCAATTAGCGTCCTCTTGCGATTGCCAGGCGTGGATACCAACGCCACCCAGCCCGTCGTCTCTGCAGACTTTTCTTGCTGGATTGTCTGGACAATTTCGGCCACTTCACGACGGACAAGAGGAGTATGGCCTTCAGATGGGGCATGAATCCCTGAATGATACTTTGCGAGAATTGCAGCTGCTTCTGTAGTTCTTTCTCGTGCTACCAGCCATCTGGGTGACTCTGGAACCCAGGCATAGAAGCATAGCTGCACCAGTGGGAAGCCGGCTTGAAGAATGGAGGGGACCCGCCATGCCCACTCACTCTGGTAATCTTGGCAGCCGAAAGTTGTCCAGGAAGCCAAGATCGCACCTGTCCAGTTTTGGATCAGTTTCCGGAAGTCATCCAAAATTGGGGGCTTCACGTACCAAGATAATACATAGTCCAATAAGCTGATGTGTATTTTCCACGGTGTGTCGGGTCTTTTCGTCGTCCGTCAGTGAAAAGTTTTTTATCTCATCTTGTTCCGGGTGCTTACAAGCTAATTCAGCAATGAGCATGGGACTCG